CACACTGTCCACTCATTCTGTATGTTATAGCGACCCCACCCAAGGCCCGCTGGCTAGTCCGTACTGCTGCTGCTATCCATCCCCACCCCACAAGAGGCACTCTAACCACGGATCCAGGGCCTGCCAAATCGGCTTAGGTAAGCACACTTGTTGTCATGGCTGGCAGCCTGGGTTTGATCCCCATCGTCCACCTGGTATGAGACTCACAGGTGTCATCCTCTGACCGTCACTGTATGTAGAGAGCCCATGCATTACATTCAGGGATTTAAACATACAGTACCTGGCGGTGGTGGCTCATGTCTTCAACACCAGTACTCGGGAGGTAGCTCTGTGAATTCAAGGCCAGCCTGATCTACAGAGTGAGTTCCATGACAACCAGGGCTACAGAGAAATCATGTCTCAAAAACAAAACAAACAAACAAAAAACCCCAAAAACTACCAAAACGACAACAAAACCAAAAACAAAAGCCAAACCAAACCAAAAGAAAACAAAACAAACAAACAAACAAAAAAAAAACAAAAAAAAAGGAAAGAAAAGAAATGAGGATAAAGGGTAATGTTGTTTTTTGAGAAAATGTCTCACTATATAGCCCAGGAGAGCCTAGAACTCATGATTCTCCTGCCCCAGTCTTGGATTACAGGCATGCTCCATCACATCTGGCTCAGATAATTTGGAGGGGGTGTTTATTTTTAAATGTTATACGTATACTTTAGTGAGTGCATGTATTACGTGTGTGTGGGTACACATGCTATGACATACAGAGGTCAGAGAGCAACATTTGTGCGTTTGCTTCCTGCTTTCAACTATGCGTGGGTCCCAGGAATCTTGGACAACCTTTCAATACTGAGCCATCTTCACCAGCCCCTCCCAGTTCTCTCTCTCTTTTCGAGACAGTGCCTCCTGCCTTGGGTCACTCGCATTAATTGCTACCAAAGTGAAAAACAAAAGCATCGGATGGACCTTTGTTTCAAACTTGAAGCCAGCAGCAGGTCAGGAGAACTGGACTGTGGTTTTTCACAAAAGACTTGAAACTTCAACATCCTGGAAGAGTTGACATTAGTGCTGACGCCAACTTTTGAAAGTGCCCTGAGACTGGAAGATGGCTCAGAGGTTAAGGTATAAATAATATCTCAAAATTTATAGGATAGGGCTGGAGAGATGGCTCAGTGGTTAAGAGCATTGCCTGCTCTTCCAAAAGCCCTGAGTTCAATTCCAAGCAACCACATGGTGGCTCACAACCATCTGTAATGAGATCTGGTGCCCTCTTCTGGCCTGCAGGTATATACACAGACAGAATATTGTATCCATAATAAATAAATAATTTAAAAAAATTTATAGGATATATATATGTATATGCTTTCTATTGTGATATTAATGGTCATATAGAGTACTAACTAATTATAGAAAAGAATTTCGTAGCTTTCTGTACATGATTTCATCAGGCTTGAGTGTCTATCAGGTAACTAGGAATTAGGTTTGCATACCACGGATGCACTTAACAAATTGAGATCCTCTAACCTCTCCGAGATCTGCTACCTAAGATCTGCAGTATACCATGGCCATTCCTAACAACGACCCCTGAAGTCTCCAGAAGGACGATGGCGTCCCACAATAACGGTTCCACTGGACCGTGTGCCACTGGACCGTGTGCCGCTGGCCATGTCGGAGGAGCAGCAGTTGGCAACTGACCTCAGGGGATCAGCCCATCAGGAAACACAACCCCGGCGGGTGAATCTCGGATAGGCAAGGCCCCCAGTGTCTTTTGCTTCTGCTGTGCCTTCACGTGTCTGCTGCTGCCATCTTTCTCTGGTACCTGGCGTGGGTGTGGGGAGATCCCCACTGCCTCTAATGTAGTGTGTGTATCATTGAAAATCCTGTTCTCTGGGGCATTTTCCTGCAGATTATTATGAAGATGATTTCCTCCTAAACTGTACCGCTTAACTGAAACAAAGATTTTATACAGTATTTTCTCAGGGTCCCCTAGAGATGCCAGAGCCCTCCAGACAGAAGGAAGCAATCTAGAGAACATGACACCCACTATCCAAAGGGGTGGGGTGGGTGGGTGGGTTTTGGTTATTCAATGGGTTATGGATTCTTATTGTTTAGGGGGGTTGGTTACGAGTTGTTATTGGTCATGGTCAGGAAAAAAGCTGAACAAAGGAGATTAGGTTCAGGGATCTTGTTCTGAAAAGAAAAAGTTGTTATAGAAATTACAGAATAAAAGGGCAGATCTCTTTTGCTTTTTCTTATTGTTTTTATTGAGTTATATATTTGTCTCTACTTTCCTCCCTTTCTCCCCCTCCCCTTTCACCCTCTTCCATGGTCCCCATGCTCCCAATTTACTCAGGAGATCTTGTCTTTTTCTACTTCCCATGTCGATTAGATCCATGTATGTCTCTCTTAGGCTCCTCTTTGTTGTCTAGGTTCTCTGGGATTGTGAACTGTAGACTGGTTTTTCTTTGTTTTATGTCTAAAAGTTACTTATGAGTGAGTACATATTTATTGTATTTTTCTTTCGGGGTCTGGGTTAAGGGTTGATCATTGAATTTACGTTTAAACTAAAAAAACCCAAATACTAGTCTTAAATATTTTACTTTGGTATAGATTTTTGTTTATTGTTACAAAAATTAAGATTATCCTTGTTATACTGTATATATGTTTGTAGTCTTTTTAAAGATATTTTATGACCGGGCAGTGATGGTGCACATCTTTTATCCCAGCACTTGGGAGGCAGATCTCTGTGAGTTCGAGGCCAGCCTGGTCTACAAGAGTTCCAGGACAGCCAGACAAACTTTGTGGAAAAACAAATGCGAGTGGAGTGGGGAGAAAGTGATTTTAATTTTATGTGTTAAGTGTTTTGCCAGGTGGGTATTCTGAAAGAGCAGTCTGTACTCTTAACTGCTGAACCATATTTTCAGATATCACACACCCACACACACACAGACCAAAGTGTCATTTCTCTTCCTGTACTGGCGATAACAATATCCATATATATTCCCAATCCATTTTCACTGCCGGGATACAGGCACCGTCTGGACCCAAAAATGCAACGCTCCAACTGAGGGTTGATGGAGTGATAAAGCTGTATCATCACCTTCTGCTAGATGAGGATACTAAGTAGGGACTTGCACCTAGAAGAGGGCCCTCACAGAAATGACCACGCTGGCACCCGGACCCAGACCCTAGAGCTGTTTTGATTCTGCGAAACGGACACTAGAAACTTGAAGCAAAGGGATCTCTGACCTAGGGGCTCAACCTCCCCGAGAACAAAGGTTCCGCTGCCGCAAAGGACTGGAGTGAGTGTGGACGGGTTTAATGAAGCTCAGCCAGTCTCCAGGGTGGCCATGCTCCACTGCTGCTTTGAAGGAACCACTGCCAAGAGATAATGCCAGATAAGGAGAGTAATACTTCATTTACTGGAATTGTTTCTACCAGCCTTTTGAGACAGGGTATCTCGTGACTCTGTCACCCAGGCTGGCCTAGAGGAAGTACACTTAACTCACAGCAACCACAGCTGGCTGAGAAGTTTGCAAACCGTATGCAGTATGAGATTAAGGGGCATGCATCTCACCCAAGTGTTCTACCGGCGGAATCACCCCCTCACCCTGGTTTAGATGCTATGGCAGGACGCCAAAACTGTTCAGGGAGTCCTGCCCGGTCTCTTGTGACTTCTCCTGGGCCTACAATGACTATTTATGCTCGTATAAAATGGTAGGTAGTTGTTGTTCCTCTCCCACCCCTCCAAATTAATGGGTTTTGCCTAACGGTCCGAGCCCAAAAGCGCTTGGTATTATGGTGTGATCTGACAGGGGTGGACGCTGTATACCTTCCCGTAGACGAACTACGCGGTTGGAGAAAGCGGTGGTCGTTGGAAAACATAAAAAGTTAAGTTAAAGTCAGTGAAAGAAACCGTTGTCTATTCTTTTAAAACCAACGTTGCCAGGGGAGAGCGCGAACGCAGTCCCCCACTACCACAAATTATGCAGTCGAGTTTCCCGCATTTGGGGAAATCGCAGGGGTCAGCACATCCGGAGTGCAATGGATAAGCCTCGCCCTGGGAAAACCACCTTCGTGATCATGGTATCTCCCCTGCCAGGTAAGTATGAGTTGCTTTCGCCTCGTAGAAGGACTCCATCGTTGTCGCCCCACTCTAAACTTACGGTCTTCTGTTTTGTGCCTTCTCTCCCTCACTTTTGCTTGTTCTCATAGTGCCCCCCCCAAAAGAACCCTGGACATCTTGTAGGTATCATTCTTAAACGGTATGGGAAATGTACGTGTGGGAGACCGGCATCCTCTGCGTGCACATAATTTACATACACCACGCCCCTGAGGTGACGTTGCGGGAACTCAAGTTTTGGCCGGTAAAGAAGACTTCGCCCACTAAGGCTGGGGGCGGAGGCTCGGGGCTTGTTGATTGAGGGTCAAGTCTGGAAATCGAAAGGGAGGTGAAAACCTATCTTTGGGACCCGGGGTCGCTCAGGTTACAGCTCAGAGGCTCTGGACAAAAAAGAAGTTCTAACTCATTGTTTCCACCAGCGGAAGGAACTCATCCTCATAGGATTCAGTTCTAGGAGATTCACCCCTTTAATGTTGAACTTCTAATAGAAAATCGTTTTTTGTCCATGTTTTTTTTTTCCCGAGTAGGTAATCATACATTATTTGTACACAACCACTAAGCCTAATAAAAACCTGGGAGAAAGGCCCAAGATAACAGCTTGGGAGATAGAAATCAGACTGGATGGTGGTACACAATTGTAATCTCAGCGCTCCGCAGGTCAAGGTAGGTGGAGCGAAGTCAGCTTGGGCTACATAGCGAGTTGCAGGTCAGACTGGGTCAGTGAGACCGCATCCAAAACAAAATAAGCAACAACACTGAAAATACCCATAAAAATACAGCGCCTGTTTTCAGTGGAAAAGAAAACGCCAAGAGCCGAGTTTGATCTATCCCCCTCCACCGCCTTCGCAGCCCTGCGCCTGCGCAGACGCACAGGAAGGACTCGCAGTTCGAGCGGAAGTGGCGTCCCCGGACGCTTTAGGGAAGGTAGCCGCGGAATACACTGAAACCCGGGCCGTTGGTGGACCTCGTAGGCCTCCCTAGGCCGCCATGAACCGGCTCCAGGATGACTACGATCCCTACGCGGTGGAAGAGCCGAGTGACGAGGAGCCGGCTCTGAGCAGGTGGGCTGCTGCCCCGCGGTGTCCGCCGAGCTTGGGCGCACTGCCGCGAGCATCCCTTGTAGGAGCCTCGGGGTGCCTGGTGGGGCTGCTCAGTCTCTGGGGAGCCAGGATGGACAGCAGTGCGGGAAAAGGGATGTTCCGGAATCACGGGGCCCCCAAGCGTAAATCCTCAGATGGAACCCTGCTCCTTACGGTTTGCTAGCAGTGTGACTGAAGGCAAGTCAGTTCTCGGCTTCTCGTGTGTATCTGGAAATGCAAGTGTGGGACTAGTGAGGGCATCAGGCCACAGCTGGAAGACTGTTGAATAGAAATAAGGGAATAGGCAATGGGAACCTTTTGGATTATAATAGAGATAGATACAAAATTCTCGTCTTCCATTGGTTTACCTTATAATAGGGGAAATGAAATACGTATCTTCGAAGGCCATCGTACTTGATATCTGATAGGCATAGATGAAGTTCTGTGGTATTTTTGGAAAGGGAGTATTTATCCTACTTAAGGGAATTTGGGATGTTTTTAGTTATGTGTAAAACACATATTTATCACCCCCTTTTTTTAACCTTGCTGGGCTGTTAAACCCAGGGTATTTTTAAAAATCCATCCATCCATCCATCCATCCATCTACCTACTTACCTACCTACCTATCTATCTACCTACCTATCTGTTTCATAATTTCAATTTTAGTTTTGAGACAGGGTCTCAGTGTGTAGTTCTGCTTGGCCTGGAACTCGCTCTGTAGACCAGGTTTGCGTTGAACTCAAGAGAGCCACTTGCTTCCAAGTGCTGAGTTTAAAGGCCAGGCCTGGCTTGTTTACTCCTTTAATAACCTAGATTCTAGAGCGGTGGTTCTCAGCCTTCCTAATGCTGGAACCCTTTAATAAAGTTCTTCATGTTGTGGTGACCCTCAGCCATAAAATTATTTCATTGCTTGTCGAGATGTTCTGTGTTGCTTGGGTCAGTCAAAGGAAGAGGGTCCCTCCAAGATGAATGTTAGGCTGTCTGGCTGCAGGGAGGAACTTCTGTGACCTGAATCCCAATAGCCGTGCAGAGGTGTATTTATTGATTGTTACACAAAAATTGTCTTTTGGGTAAAACAAGTTCCTTGTACTAAAGTCCCTGATACAATGATGTGTCCTTCTGAAGAAAAGTGCCACACGTGCCATTTTCGTCCTTACCGGGTACTGTTTGCTGTACCCAATAATCAAGGTGCCAGGACTGTCTTGTGACCAAAGCCATGCAAAGTCTGTGAAGCAGCTCTGTAGATCCCAGAAAACAATCCCTGTTTTCCACAGTGATTTCTTTAGTCTAGGCTTTCCTAGAAAACAACTGTTCATTCTGAAGTTTACCTCTAGTACAGTGAGAAACACTATTTCATTCTAATGCTTATCCTAGATACAACATTCTACTCATTTTTCTTCCTGCAGTTGCTACTTTGTAAATATATTTTTGATACTGTTACAAATCATAATGAAAATACCTGTATGCAGGATATCTGATAGGTGGCTCACAAGGGGGTTGAGAACCAACGCAGAAAAGAGAGTTGAGGCCAGGGGATCCTTGGCAGATGCTGCTGGAGGCAGAGTTAGAGGTCAGAGTGAAAACAGTGGTGGTGGTGGCAGTGACAGAGCATAGCATGCTGGCCGGTTTACCTGTCATGGACAGCATTTCCTTGGGAGTAGATTCTGGCTAAAACCTTAGCCACTGACAGGTGTGGTGGCTCTTGGGAGGCTCTAAAGTTCAGGCCAGTCAGGCTGCCCCGTGAAACCGCGTCTCAAAGAGGCAAACAAAAGGACAAGCAACCCACCCTTAGTCCTCAGCAGATTCACTGGAGTGAATTGCCTTTTTCTGATTAAGTCTCTGGTGGAACCTTGAAAGCATTGTCTGGTGTTCTTCCCATGAGGGTATTCTTCCCATGAGGACTCTGTTGTGATTATTGATATAGGATCTCGTGTATCCCAGACTGGTGGCTTCTGATCCTCCTGCTTCCACTTCTTCCACTTCTCAAGTGTGGGGATCACAGGCGTCCACCACCATATGTGTTTCGTGTGATGTTGTGCTCAACCCAGCCTCATGCCTGCCAGGCAAGCACTTTACCAACTCAGTTACAGCCTCAGCCTTATTATTATGTATATTCTTCATATTATATTAGAAAGGTCTTAGACATTTAATTTTTCTTGTTTGAAACAGGATCTCATGTAGCCCAGGGCTGTTTTTGACTCCATTGTGAAGCCACTCTTGAACTCTGACCTCCTAAGTGCTGGGATTACAGGTGTGCAACACCATGTCTGACTTAATTCATTAAAAAAATTAAATAACATTTCTTTTCTTAAATTTGTCTGTGTGGGCATGTGGGTGCCTTGGGACATTGTGGAGGTCAGAGGATAGCTTCTCTCCTTCCATGTGGGTCCCAGGGATTGAATTCAGGTCAGCAGGCTTGGTGACAAGTGCCTTACCTGCATATGAGCTGTCCTCTGTCTTGCTGGCCCCGACTGAATCCAGTTTTGTTGTTTTAGTCCTCCTGATTACTGAATAGTGTTATTATAATTCTGTTGATAGAAAACCAATCGCAGAAGACAATACAAATTGACAGAAATTGGCTAGGAGAATCCAGAGTGCAGTGTAAGTTTCTTGGGGTGAGTGCTATAGCGCAGTGGTAGAGCAGGTGCCTGCTGTGCGTGAAGCCTTGGTTCAGTCACCAGCACCAGGAAAACAATCCTCGTTGTACGTAGTTTCTCTTTTCACAGTTTTCTGTAGCAATTGTCCTTCAAATTATATTATTTAATTCCTATTAACATTTTATGTTGAAATATTAGCTGTATATTTATATATATTAGCTGTATATTACATATTTATGTATTTTACCTCAATAAAACTCTCAGATCTGTGAGGTAAGCTTTTTTAGTTGATAGAATTATGAATTGGTACAAGTATTGGTAAACAATGTAATAATATAAGAAGTTGGAAAGAGGGATGGTTAATAGCATCGTCTGTTCTTCCAGGGGACCTGGGTTCGATTCCCAGCCTCACATGGCAGCTCACAACCATCTAACTGTAACACTAGTTCTAGGGAATCCAGTGTCCTTTCTGGCCTCTGTGGCACCAGGCAACACAATTGATGCACAGATACACACACAAGTAGAAGACCCATACACACTCACAAATGAAAGAAGCCAGGCAGTGGTGGCACACACCTTTAATTCCAGCACTCAGGAAGCAGAGGTAGGCTGATCCCTTTTTTGAGTTTGAGGCCAGCTTGGTCTACAGAGTGAATTTTAGAACTGCACAGAGAAATCTTGTCTCAAAAAACCGAAAACCAGAACAAAACAAAAACAAACAAAAGACAACCAACTAAACAAAAAAACACCTAGAAAACCCTTCTGAAAACTGGATTAGCTGATCTGTTGCCTATTAATTATCATTGCTATATGCACTATAATAGGTACACCAGATGTAAATTTGTAATACTTAATTTTCTGTTGAGCAGTAAAATGCTAGAAGTTTAAGTGTTTGTGTCTTGTTTTGTGAAGCTGTACTTCAGACCTAGGGACTTGCACATGCTGCACGAGTGCTCAACCACTGAGCCACATTCCAGCCGTGACTTTTTTTTTAATATTCGGGACTGGAGAGATGACTCAGTGGTTAAGATCACTGGCTGTGCTTCCAGAGAGGTCCTGAGTTGAATTCCCAGCAACTACATGGTGATTCACAACCATCTATAGTAGGATCTGATGCCTTCTTCTGGCATAAAGGTGTGCATGCAGATAGAACTTTTTGTATATGAATACAAAAAGTAAATTAATTAATTAAAGACAAAGAAAAAGGTTTTAATATTTATATTCCCTGTGCTTTAAATGTATGCTAGTTCTGAAGATGAAGTCGATGTGCTTTTACATGGAACTCCTGACCAAAAACGAAAACTCATCAGGGAATGTCTTACTGGAGAAAGTGAATCATCTAGTGAAGATGAATTTGAGAAAGAAATGGAAGCTGAATTAAACTCCACCATGAAAACAATGGAGGATAAGTTATCCTCTATGGGGACAGGTAAACTCTGGGCTCTGTTCCCACAGATATCCTGTAAGGGAGTGTGTTCTTTTGTGTCGCTTTGTGTAGGTGCTCAAGAATCACTGTGTGTCTGTGTGCACATGTGTGTGTGTGTGTGTGTGTGTGTGTGTGTATGTGTGTGTATGTGTGTGTGTGTGATGGGTGGTGGTGGGGGTGAACCTGGGTTTGTGTTTGCTAGACAGAAGTCTACTACTGAATTACAGTCCTGCCTCTTTTAAAATTTGAGAAGGGTCTGGCTAAGTTACTCAGCCTGGCCTTGAACTCGCTGTAGCCCCTGTGATCCTGCCTCTGCTTCCTGAGTGGCTGGGAGACAGATCTGCATGAGCATGTGTGGTTAATACACTACTTACCACATGAAGACATGAATGTGCTGACGATCTGTGCCCGAGTTTTCGTTAATGACTAACACATATTATGTGTTATTGGAAAGATACTATTTAGTAGCAAGTACTCGTCTTATTTCCTTTTGTGATTTTTAACACATGCTGGGCGTAATGGCGCACACCTTTGATCCCAGCCTAGTATATAGAGTGAGTCTCAAAAAACCAAACAAAAACCCAAAAAACCCACAAGGCATACAAAGGATTTTTAGAGTCTGATGGCAGATTAATGGTATGTCACTACAAATTCCTGTCTCTTTGTAGTAGTAATAAACACATTTCATTTTTAGATTTTTATGTATAATTTACTTGACCCAAAAATTGTTTTGTGGAAGTAGGACTGGTCAGAACTGTTTTCATGTTGGTATGTGCTATACCTTGAAGAACGGAAAGATGTAATTGAAGCAGAGGAAGACTCAGGGACACAGGCTTGTGAAGACAGGCTGGAGATGAGACGTCTGTTCTTAGTCCATCTCCTTGTCTAATGCCCTTGGAGCAAGACGTCTTTTCCTGTTCTCCATGGAGTATTTGTTTTTTTTAAAGATTTATTTATTTATTATGTATACAGTGTTTTGCCTGCCTGTGTGCCTGTAGACCAGAAGAGGGCACCAGATCTCATTACAGATGGTTGTGAGCCACCATGTGGTTACGGGGAATTGAACTCAGGACCTCTGGTAGAGCAGCCAGTGCTCTTAACCTGAACCCTCTTTCCAGCATTAAAAAGATAGAAGTATATATGCTGAGACCATGGAAATACAGCATTTAAATTCTAATTACATTTGTGGGGAGAGAGAAAGGATGATTTTCTCCTAATCTGGAAAATTCGTCAAGGAGTGATTCCCTATAGGTGCATTGCACAGATATCTCCTAGTCAATACTCTACAACTGAGATTGTGACTAAATTAGTACTATCTGAAGTGACAGAATATGTCTGGAGTGTTTCAGTTTGTAAACGCCCCTTCTGTTTGGTAGGGTCTTCCTCGGGAGTTGGGCGTGTTGGAGCAGTCACAGCAAAGTACTATGATGACATTTATTTTGATTCCGATTCTGAGGATGAAGACAAAGCCAGTGAGTAACCTTTTTCTTAGCAGGTGTGTTTTATGGATACTGTCCGCCTCAACAGTTATTTTCTGTCTGAGTTTTATATTGTTTTTAAAATTTGGTTGTGTGATGTCTTACTCTTTTGACTCTTTTGGGGCCCCACCACCCAGCTCCTGAGGCTTATTCTTAGTTATGAATACCCCACCTTAGCTTGGCTTGTTTCTTACCAACTTTTCTTAAATTATCTCCGACCACCTTTAGCCTTAGGGCTTTTCTCTTTCTCTTACTTCTATAATCTTACTTCCACTCTTACTCCATAGCTTGCTGTCACTGGCCCCTGATGTCCTCTTTCTTGTTTCTCTTTTTATTTATTCTCTGCATGCCAGCCCCGCCTATCCTTGCTTCTGCCTCGCTATTGGCTCTTCAGCTCTTCATTAGAACCATCAGGTGTTTTGGACAGGCAAAGAATCACAGCTTCATAGAGTTAAACAAATGCAGCGTAAACAAAGCAACACACCTCAAATACTATTCCTCAACAAAATTTAATTTTATGTTAATGGGTGTATGGGCTGCATGGATATCTGTCTGTGCACCATGTTCCTGCCTGGTGCCCGGAGAGCACCAGGTATTGGATTCCCTGGAACTGGAGTTATAGATGTTTGTGAGCCACCATGTGGGGGCTGGAAATCAAGCCTGGGTCCTCTGAAAAAGCAGCCAGTAATCTTAACTGCTGAGCAATCTCTCGGATTCTCTCTTGTTTATTTTTAAGAAACTATAGACTAAGCCAGGTATGGTGATTACACTCCAGTTACAAAAAATGTTCTGTCTGAGACTGTGTTGCGCCTTCTTCCGTTTCCAACAACATATCTTTGTAAACGGCTTTCCAGTTTGTTGGTTATCATGTCTAAATACAGTAGACTTTGCTCTTGCAAAGACCGCCCTAAGAATTTCTGATCTGGTGAGAAAGAAACAATCTGAACCTTCACACTGAGGTTGGCTTTTTAGGCATACTGTTGAGAAATGTAGCAATGTAGTTTACTGTTGTAAAGACTGTTTACATTAAGACTGTTACCCATCATGCTTCAAGACAAAATTTCATTTATTTGTAATTGAAAATAAATATTCCACAATATATAATTACATACTGTTTTTGTGATTAATTACTATGCTTTAATTATGTTCAGTTTGTAAAAATGAAAATACATCCTACATATCTGATACTCACATTATTACTTATAATAGTAGCAAAATTATAGTTATGAAGTAGCAATGAAAATAAACTTATGGTTGGGGCCACCACATGAAGAATTGTGTTAAAGGATCAACGCATTGGGAAGGTTGGGAACCAGTGGATTAAAGGCATGTGCCACCACATGTGTGCATATATATATATACATATATGTATATGTATATATTATATATGTTTTTTTTCTCATCATTTTTCAAGACAGTTTCTTTGTAGTCCTCAGCTGTCCTGGAACTTGCTCTGTAGACCAGGCTGATCTCGAACTCACAGATCCCCTTCAAAGGCAGGTGCCACCACCATCTGGCTCTTATTCATATTGACCTCCACCTGTTTGTTATATCTATTAAGATGGCCTCCAACTCACAGAGATTCACCTGCCTCTGTCCTGCCGATTTTAGTTTTAGGATATCCAGGGGGATACAGAGAAACCCTGTCCTGAAAAAGACAAAACAAAAACGAAAATTTTTCTGTGTGTGTGTGTGTGTGTGTGTGTGTGTGTGTGTGTGTTTATGGGAGCTCATTCTGCTCGTGTATGGCTGTAGCAGACAACCTATGATAGTCGGTTCTCTTCTTTCACCGTGTGAGTCCCAGGACTGAACTCAGGCTGTCATGGTGGCAGGTGCCTTTACACGGAGCCATCTTCCCTGCCTCCCTTCTATTTTGGGCAGAGTCTCATGTAGGAGAGGCTGGTCTTAAACTTGGTCTGAAGCCAAGGATGCCCGTGAACTCATGATCCTACTGCCTCTGTCTCCCAAGCACTGGGTTTACAGATGTGTCACCGTGACCAGTTAGTTTTAAATGGTTTTTTGAGACTGAATTTTTATTATGTGAACTTGGCCCTTTGGCCTCCTCTATCTTTACTTTAGTGTCTTAATTGCACAAAACTCTTATTTGAGGAATAGCTGTATTTTATTTAATTTTATGTATTGCATTTTTGGGTAAGGGTTTACTTTTATTGCCAGGGTAGCTTGAAACTCACTGTGTGTTCCAGGCGTGGCAGTTCTCATGTCTCAGCCTCCCAGGTACTGAGATTGCTGGCTAAAGAAAGGCTTTAGGCGTCTTTTAAAAGACAATGTAACGAGAATAAATTCATAGTGTGGGAAACAGGAGAGTCATTTTATATTAAAGAATTGTCATCTTTAGATAGATACTGATCCATATTATTAACCTTTTAAAAATTAGCACAAGTGACCAAGAAGAAGAAACAGCGCAGGATCCCAACAAATGATGAGTTACTATATGATCCTGAGAAAGACAGCAGAGACCAAGCCTGGGTTGATGCACAGAGAAGGGGGTAAGCATTTAAATCTTTATTTATAATCTTTAGAGAGTGATTTTTCCATGCTTTCTTATTTTACTATATGTGTATTTGTTTTCACACAAACACATCAGGAACAATTTGAGGAGGAAAACTTCAAAAGTTTATTTGAAAATAACTAGCAGATTTTAGTTAGACAATTGAATGTCTATCTATCCATCCATCCATCCATCCATCCACCCATCTGTCTAATTTTCGAAACAGGGTTTCTCTGTGAAGCCCTGGCTGTCCTGGAACTCACATTGTAGACCAGGCTGGCCTCGAACTCAGATCCACCTGCCTCTGCCTGGGATTAAAGGTCTGTGCAATCACTACCTGTTTATTATTAAAACATTCTCATGTAGCCCAGGATGGCTTCAAAACTTAGTATGTAGCCCAGGGCAGGGCTTTAAACTCCTGATGATCCTACCTCTACCTTCCAAATGCTCTCTGGAGTTACAGGTTAGTCACCGTGACAGTTAACGGTTAGTTATTGATGGATCTAAACTGCCCTAGTCAATCTCTTCATTTAGGGAATAGAACTTTTTATTGTTCTTGTGAGACAGGGTTTTGCTATGTAATCCTGGCTGGCCTGTTACTCATTATGTATTTGCCCTGGCTAATTTACAGCAATTCTGTCTCAACCTCTTAAGTGCTGGGATTATAGGTTTGTACTCATCTGTATTTTTAACCCCATTTTTGCTTTTTTTTTTGGGGGGGGGCAGTTTCAAGACAGGATTTCTCTGTAGCTTTGGAGCCTGTCCTGGAACTAGCTCTTGTAGACCAGGCTGGCCTCGAACTCACAGAGCCGTTTTCTTCTTAAAACATTAAGTGGTTCAGGCTGACCTTGAAGTCACTCTGTAGCCCAGTGAACCTGGAACTTGCAATCCTCCTGGCTCAGCCCCATTGGAAGCAGGGATTATAGGCCTGTACCAATAGGCATTGATATAAAACTAACTTTGGTGGTTGGTTGGCTGGTTTCTATTTTGGTCTTTTCAAACTAGCTTTTCCCAAAAAGACATGTTAAAACCTTTAAAAATATATTTATGTATGTATGTATTGTTGTTGTTGGTGTGAGATAGGGTCTCTCCCAGACTGGCCTTGAAGACCCAGGGCTACTGTCTCTCAGCCTCCCAAATGCTGGGATTATGGGTATGCACCATCATGATTCTCTTATAATTTTAAATTATTCTGAGATTAGAGTTTTAGTCTCTAAACTGTTAATTTTATTTTTGTCTGCCCTGGAACTCACTATGTAGACCAGGCTGACCTTGAATATGCAGAGATTCATCTACCTCTGCCTCCTAAGTAAGTGCTTTCTGATATTTTGTTTTTTAGTCCCAAATTCTGGGATTAAAGGCTTGCATCACCTTGCAGGCCCAGGAGCAAATTGCTTTTGAGGTTCACCTACATCATAGCACAGTACTTCTTTCTATGGCTGAACAATGCCATTGTACGTCTGTATTTTGATTTTTGTTATCCCCTGAGGGATGTTTGTGCTCTAACTACCTTTTGACCGTCTTGAATAGTGTTGTCAGAACTGGTGTACGGATGTTTGTTTGAGTCTCTTCTTACGTTTTTTATTTTTATTTTTGGTTACAAATCTCGGTGGAGCATTGCAGGATCACATGGTAATTCTGTGTTTTAATTTTTTGTGTGCCTGGAGATGCACTTATGCTGTTGTACATGCTAGGCAAGTACTCCGCTGCTAGCTACTCACTCAGTGCCTAGGAGGCCGTGCTTCGGTCCGGTTGGGGATGGCTAGCTCTGTTTTCCAAGGCGGCAGGCTGATGTTGCTGTGGGATCTCTGTACACACCCTGTAGCTCCAGTTCTCCCTGTCCCTTCTCGCTCATCCCGGTTCATTCCTGTGCTGCTTCCTCCAGCGCCCCCTGGTGTTTACTTACTGAAACTGTCTTTATTTTGTTTTTGGAGGCGGGATCCCCGAGGAAGCATAGTTTGTCCTGGAAGTGTCTGTGTAGCCCAGGCTGGCATTGGATGGTTTTGTTCTTCCTGCCTTAGCTTTCTGAATTTATTTTACTTTACATTTGTTTATCTTAAAATTTATTATTGCTATGTGAATATGTGGCAAGGCATGCTTGTGGAGGTTAGAGGACAACTTCTAGGGCTGTCAGGTTAGTAGCAAGCACCTTGAAGTGGTAAGCCATCTTATCAGCTCCTCTACCTTCAGTGATTGAAACAGAGTCTCTACTGAAGCTACAGCTCGGCTCGGTTGGCTGCCAGTGAGCTCCAGAGATCTGCCTGTCTCCATGCTGTTGTCCCCGAGAGCACTGTAGTCACAGTGCCTCTGCCTGCTCTTTACGTGGGCACTGGGCCCTTAGCCCAGTCCTCACACTTTGCCCAGCAGGCACTTTAGCCCTCCCCCTCTTCCTCAGGCTGGTGTGGAGCTCACCGTACAGTCCAGGCTGCATTTGTAGTCCTGCTGTTGTTGCCTAGTGTTGCCTAGTGCTAGGATTCCCTTGCCTGAAAATGCAAGTTTTTCGAGCCAGGGTTTCTCTGGGTAGCCCTGGCTGTCCTGGAACTTGCTCCATAGACCAGGCTGGCCTTGAACTCAGAGTTCTTCCTACTCTGTTTTCTGAGTGCTAGGATTAAAGTCATGTGCTTTTAACTGCCTGGCTTAAATTTGTGACTACAAGCATAAAATAGTTTCTTAGACTTTCCTTGTTTTTGGCATCTTAAGTGTCTTGAAGAGCCCTGGTTAGTTTCCTGTTAGAATTCACCTGAGACTTTCCACACAATCTCACTGATAATGGGGTTTTGGTTTGTTGTTAGGATTGGCCTTTGTGAGACTTGTCTCATTTTAGCTCATACTGACCTTGAACTCTGGATCCCCCTGCTTCTTCTTGGAGTGCTGGGATTTCAGGCATGGGACCACATCATACCAAACTACTCTGAAAGGAAATTACTGTGTACAGTCCAGACTTAAGGAGTTAGGCTCTGCCACCTTGAAGTTTGATTTGATTTTTTTTTTAACTTTCTGCCTCTGCAAGATGTTTTAGGTAGATCTTGTAAACCATATCCCAAGATTTATCCATTTTTGGTGCTGGAGAGATGGCTCAGCAGTTAAGAGCACTTGTTGCTCTTGCAGAGGACCTGAGTTTGGTTTCTAGCACTCACCTGGTGGCATACAACATTTTATAACTCCAGTTTCTGGAGACCCCACACCTTCTTCTGACCTCCCAGGGTATTAGGCATACATGTAGTGCACTTAAATACATGCAGATAAGACATTCATATACATAAAGTAGATAAATAAAAATAGTAATGATAATAATAATAATAATTAGTAATTTCCAATTATTCTTAATTAGAATAATTGAGTTCTGAATCCTTTTTCTGGACCATGGCATTAGAAACCAGGATTTGGTTGATTAACGTATGTTTTCTTCTCAGATTTATCTTTCTGTTTTAGTTATCATGCCTACGGACTGCAGAGACCACATCAGAAGCAGCAGCCTGTTCCTAACAGTGACGCCGTTCTGAATTGCCCTGCCTGCATGACCACCCTGTGCCTTGACTGCCAGAGGTAAGGGGCAAAGGTAAACATGCACACAAATGAACTTTTTGTTTTGTTTTTTCGAGACAGGGTTTCTCTGTAGCTTTGGAGCCTGCCGAGGAACTTGCTCTGTAGACCAGGCTGGTCTCGAGCTTACAGAGGTCTGCCTGTCTCTGTCTCCCGGGTGCTGGGATTAAAGGTGTGCACCACCACCGCCTGGCTGGCTCACAACCTTCTACCATGAGATCTGGTACCCTCCTCTACCTTGCAGGCATACATGCTTTCAGAACACCGGTATACAACAAACAAACAAATATTTCTTCCCCCTCTCATGTTTTTGAGAAAGGGTTTTTCTGTGTAACACTCATAGGTGTCTTGGAACTTGCTTTGTAGACCAGGCTGTCTATCTATCTATCTTTGAGGCAGGGTCTCTTTGTAGCCTTGGTTATCCTAGAATTCACTATGTAGATCAGGCTGGCCCATGAACTCACAGAGATCCCCCTGCCTCTGGAATCTAAGGTGTATGCCACCACTGCCCAGCCTTACCTTCCATTTAAGAAGTGTATTTCTCCATGGGGTTACCATACACGCCCGCTTTCTCATTACTTGAGAGTTTGAGACAGGAAGATTGTGAGTTCTGGGTTAGGTTTGGCAGCTCTGTCTCAAAAACATGAGTCAATAAATAAACAACGCTTTCAAATTTCCTTCAATTCACATTTCATTCCCCTGTATTGATTTTAGTGGATATCTATGTAGGTGTTCTCACATTTGATTGAAAAGTGACTGCCGTGAAATCCAGACTCCATTTCATTCTCTTTCTAGGCATGAATCCTACAAGACTCAGTACAGAGCAATGTTCGTGATGAATTGTTCTGTCAACAGAGAGGAGGTTCTAAGATACAAGAACCCAGTAAACAGGAAGAAAAAGCGGGGCGCTAAGAAGATGAGGTCGAACCCTGAAGGTCCTGTGGAGACAGACGCGGAGGAAGTCTATCACCCTGTCATGTGCACAGAGTGTTCTACTGAAGTGGCAGTCTATGACAAGGATGAAGTCTTCCACTTTTTCAATGTGTTAGCAAGCCATTCTTGAGGAGCGACAGGTAACTGACTCGGCAGCACTGTGTGAAGCACACATGGACTCTTTCCTCTTTCCTGTCGTGTCACTCAGTGACATTGGGTTATTAAAGCAGTGTTTCATCGTTATGAAAGAATGGCCTTCAACCTTTATCTCTTCTCCCTTTTTCTTTTTAATTTTCCCATGAGTAATGACGGACTGATTATTCTTTTCATTTTTGGTGCATCTTTGGAGACTTTGGGGCTTCTTATTTATTAGATTAGCTTTTGAGAATTAAATAATTCTGGAATAAGTATTTGTTTCTTAGTGTTTGGTCTATTTTCTACTGCTATAGCAAAGGACTAGAGGTTGATGGTTTGTAAAGAAATGAGTTTCAGGGATTGGCAAGATGGCTCTACACTTGTGTGAGCCTGACAACCAGGAATTACTCAATCTCTGGAGGAGCTCTCAGTGGAAGTATAACTCCCAAGATTTCCTGTGACTGACCTAAACATGCGCGCGCGCACACACACACACACACACACACACACACACACACACACAACCTGAAAAGGTGGAGGAGTGTTGAGAATTTGGTGGGGTAGCAGACAGAAGTGGGGCCAGTAAGTAGGAGCAAAATTCAGTGCTGTGCATCTGAGAATGCCATGGTGAAACAAACCTGTTTTGTATGGCACTGGGACATTAAATGAACTACTGTGAAGAACTGTTGTTTGTGCCCTCTCACTTAGAGACACCAGACATTCCCAAGGCTATCTGGGCTGGGCGCACAGAACTGAGCCACAGTGTAGCTCGCTTTAAATGGAGCATAAAATATCTGTTTAAGGGGCTGAATCAGATCCAGTTGAAGTTAATTCTTCCTTCTTCAGCTGGGCTTACTGTGCCATGCTCTGTTGCTGTGTAAGGTGGCCACAGACATAAAGAACAATACACGTTCATTGTCATCATAATTTCTCCGTGTCAGGAACCTGGCTACAGTCAAGCAGTGCATTCAACACGAGCTCACAAAGGCGATAAGGAACCTGGTTGGGTAATGTTCCCTCTTGGAGACTTGGGTAGGCAAGTTCCTCTTCCCAGTGTCTCAGGCCATTGGCAGAATGTATATCCTTATAACCACAGGACTGAAGTGCCTCCCCTGCCTCCCCTTACTGGTTGTCAGCCAGGAGGTAGTGAAGTTCTCCCCCCCTTCCCCCCCATTGATTAGCCAGGAGCTGTTCTCGGCTCCCAGAGGCTACCTGCCTCATGTAGAAGTACACAAACTATTAATTTATATTTATTATTTATTTCTATTTCAAAGAAACATACACACACTTCTATGTTTCTGTGTGGTAAATGTTGACTATGCTTTTTTTGTTTGTTTTCTTAGTTCCTAATCTGAACTAGACACTCCTAGGAGCAGTTATTGCCTCAGGCTTTTCAATCCTTACTAGAGATTTGGAGCAGAAAGAACAGTTAAAAGATGCTGTAATTAGGGAAACTGGACCCTGTTGTGAAACAAGCGACCTGCACCCATTTTTCTTTGTAAATAATTTTTGAGCGACTTCTTTTCATTTTTGATATTTGACTATCTCTGACTCACTGGCTTGCTGTGGTTTCTTAGCAGACATGGGAAGTTTTTGTTGTTGGTTCTGATTTTTCCTTTACTGGGGATTGTACCCAGAACCTTATGCATGCCAGGAAGTGATTTATCACAGAGCTGTAACCTAGCCAAGCAGATACTGATGCCACGCTCTCCTGCCCCCACCTCTGGGACTAAGGGCCACAGAGTCCAGCCGTGGCAAGAGTGGGAAGGTGTTTCATAAGTACACCATCGAGCAGCCGTCCCTGGGACAGACTGGACTGCTGTGCCACAGCACTAGCCCTCTAGCTTGTCTGAAGGAAACCAGTGTAGACCCGTCTGTCTCCTTCCCGTGGTGTGTGTGTGTGTGCACGCGCATGTGTGTGTGTGTGTGTGTGTGTGTGTCTTGTGTCGTGTCCCCCCCCCCAGGCACAATGGGCAGTGGCTGAGAGACAGATAGGCACACCATGCAGAGAAAGTGGGTATTTATTTAGTGGGCTATAGAAGGGAAAGGGAGAAGGGGAAGAGCAGAGAGAGTCAGAGAGAGAGAGAGTAACAGAGAGGGAGAGGAGGGGGGAGAGGAGAGGAGAAGATACCTCTTCGGGAGAGAGAGACTGGAAAAGAGCTCAGGCTAAGGAAGATCTGCTTGCCTCAGCGAAGGGGGGGGGGGCTTGTCTCAAAGGGACAGGACAGACCATTACAGTAATGACACTTGCAAGCCTTATCCAAAGGAGCAAGTTACCCCCACCCCAGGACTGTGATGTGCTGGCATTTAGTTGCTGTTAGAGGAGTCTTCAATCAAGAAATGTTGGTAGGAAAATAAAAGAAAAATTAAAAAAAAATAGAGGAGTCTTCAATTTGTACTATATTGAAAGTTCACCTGAAATCCAGGTAGTGTGACCATTTAAAGTTTTTGTTGTTGTTGTTTTTTCCTTTTATTTTTTCCTTTTATTTTTTTTTCTTTTTTCTTTTTGCATTTAAAGGTTTTTATCAGATACTTTGTACAGAAAGTCGGGGCATAGGACTTTTCTGTGATAAACCTATGTGGTTCTTAGGCCTTTAGAGCTAGTTTGCAGGAGAAGTCGGAGAGAGTTGGGAGCTGTGGGCTAGAGAAGTCTGCTGTAAGCAGAGCTTAACGGGCCGTTCTATGGGAGTTTAGGAAACCAGAGTGAGTGGAAGTGGTGGCACACATCTTTAATCCCAGCATTTGGGAGGCAGAGGCAGGTGGATCTCAGAATTTGTGGTCACTGGTCTTCAATGTGAGTTCCAGGACAGCCAAGGCTACACAGAGAAACCCTGTCTCAAAAAACTTAGGCTGGGGGCTGGAGAGATGGCTCAGCGACTAAGAACACTGCCTGCTGTTCCAGTCCTGAGTTCAATTCCCAGCAACCACGTGGTGGCTCACAGCCATCTGTAGTAAGATCTGGTGCCCTCTTCTGGCCTGCAGAACACTGTATACATAACGAATAAATAAATCTTAAAAACAACAACAACAACAACAACAACAAACTTGAGCTGGCCAGGCTGGCCGTTTCCACACCTGTAACACTGTTGCCAATACAGAAGCCACAGCTCCCAGCTTACAGGGAGTAAGAACTAGTTTATTCTGGAGCCGTTTTGAGTGACCATGGCCCAGGAGCACAGATCCAGGTTACCCCAAATTCCATGTTCCAATGGTAGCAGTTTCAAGAAGTTTCTGTAGTTTTACAGAACAAAGAGAGTCATAAACCAAGTGAGTTTAAAATCCATTGGTGGGTGCATCAGAGAGGCAGGTGCAGGAGATGGGGGAGGCTTTTCTGTAGGCCCCAGATGGTGTCTACAGGCTTTTGGGTTGGTATTGGTCTGCTAAGATTCCAAAGGGTGTCTATTAGTCACAAGATGTTAGTCTTGACACAGATGGGTAAGGGATGGCTGCTCCCCAGGGCTAGAACTAGCCCAAGATGAGGTAATTAATTAGCGTCTGGACGTGCGACATTCCAGTCTCTCCACAGCACTGAAATTTGAATCACTGTTTCTGCAAACCAAGCTTCTTCTCAGGAGTTTCAGTTCACTCTTTGTAGACTAGACTGACTTGCACTCACAGAAACCCGTTTGTCTCTGCTGGAGTTGAGTGAGTAAGCCACCAGTCTATCTCAGTTTTTGGACACAGAGTCTTTTACTGAGCTGGAAACGGACCGTTTGAGCTCAGCTGGTCAGCGAGGAAGCCCTGGGGATGCAGCTGTTTCCACTCGCCAGTGCTGGGCTTACGGCCGTGTGTCTGTAGTCTTTGTTTTGTTTTAGTCTGGTTTGGGGAGGGGGAGGATGGAGAGATGGCTCTGGGTAAGAGCACTTGTTGCTCTTGCAGGGGACCTGGGTTCAGTTCCAAGTACCCACATGGTGGTTCCCAACTGTGATGGCTGTTCTTGGTTGTCAACTTGATGACTCTCGAATTAACTAAAACGCAAGCAGCTGGGCACACCTGTGAGGGATTTTTCTTAACTGGATTATTTGAAGTAGGAAGACCTAGAATCTGCATCTTCTGAGGTGGAAAGATCCATCTTAAATCTGGCCACACCTTCTGGTTGCAGCCTATTTAAAGGACATGGGGTCGGGGAGCTTTTGCTCTTCGCCTGCTTGCCCTCACTCTGGTAGCAAGTTCATCCCTTCACTGGTACGAGCTTACTTCTTCAGGATTCTGCCATATATGGGAGACCAGCTGAGATAACCAGCCTCATGGACAGATCAACTACTGGATTCTTGGGCTTTCCATCAGGAGACAGCTATTATTGGAATAGTTATATAACTATATGCTATGCTAATAAATCATACACTCAGGCACACACACACACACACACACACACACACACACACCCTATCAGTTCTCTCTCCAGAGAACCCTGACTAATTCAGTAATCATCTGTAACTCCAGTTCCAGGGAATCTAGTGACCTCTTCTGAACTCTGCAGGGTAGGCATGCATGCGGTGCACATACATACATGTAGGCAAACTCAAAATGACTTAATCTGTAAATGAGTGAATGTAGGTGATGGGGCTTTGAAAGCCGATCCTCTTGCTTTCACAGCTAGTGCCCTTACGCCCTGAGCCATCTCCGCATCCCAAACGAGGTAAAATAGATGCGCTGGAGTGTCAAGTTGACAAGGGGTAGACCTGTGGCAGTTGGTCTTTATTGTAAACATGACTGGATTTAGAATCACCGCGGAAACACATCTCTGGGTGTGCCTGAAAGTGTTTCTGGTCTGTGGCCAGACCACCCTGAACGCACCTGATCTCATCTGTTCTGGGAAGCTAAGCAGGATGGGCCTGATTAGCTCTTGGATGGGAGACTGCCTGGGAATACAGTGTGCTGTAGGCTTAAAAAGGAAGTTTCTAGAAAGGCCTAAGTGAGGAAGGAAGACCCACTTTGAATGTAGTTTGCGCTCTCCAGTGGTTGGCATTCTAGACCAGAAGAGAAGTGTGAGCCGAACACCACCATTTCTCTCTCCCCTCCCTGACAATGGTGTAATGTTCCCACTGCAAGCCTTCCTTGTGGTGATGTGCTCACACTGAAAGCCAGAAATAAGCGCTTCTTTCTTTAAATTGCATTTATCAGGTATTTTATCTCAGAAGAAAGGAATAAACAATAAAAGAAACTAACATAACATAATTAAATGTGTATTTAATTTTTAGGAGGTGGGGAATGTTAAAATCAGTGTATTTATTTGTCTGTATGAGTGTGTAAAGGCCTCAGGGAGTAGGGTGTC